TTCTCTCATTCAATTTATCAATCCATTGAAATCAAGTTAAACCAGCCATCTTGAAGTACTTATGTTTTATCTTATATAAGATAAAAGTCCAGGAATTTTATCTGTTAATGTTTACAGTGTTTGACCAATAGACATGATGGTCATAAAGATAGCAAAGACCAGATGTCTCAGATGGCATTACAGTCTGTTTTTACCAGCACATTTTTTAATCTACTTTTTATTGTATTTTTAGAAAAATAAGATCTTGCTCTTGTATTAAGGCTGAGTTTAAATTTCTAAATCTGATATAAGAGTTAATCTGGAGTGGTATCGACTGTCCTTTGTTTTTAAAGTCAATTTATATCATACACATATACAATATAATATTATTTGTATGCTATATGCCCTCCTGGGGCCCTAATTTGGTAAATAAAAATATTCTATTCTATACATTTCTTTTAAACATTGAACTGAATAGAATTGCTTGGCATCTATTAGAAAATCCAAATGGCTGTTAGTACTGCTTGATACAGTGGCTGCAATATATTTATATATATATGAGTACTGCTTGATACAGTGGCTGCAATATATTTATATATATATGAGTACTGCTTGATACAGTGGCTGCAATATATTTATATATATATGTGATACTAACACAACAAATGGCTGACTTATGTCAACATTGTGTGTATAGAGAAACCAGGACTTTTGGTAATCTGAATAAAATACAGTTTTTCCTATAAACTTTTAATGCAGATTTTTCAAAACCATGAAATTAAGTATCCACCACAATAATGCAACCCTTCCCCCTAAATCCATTTGCTTGCTATCCATAAAAAAATATGGATCCACATAAGTCATTATTTATGTCTATTGTGTAAGTTAGAAACAAAGAGAAAGCCAGGAGTTTACTCCGACACAATATGTATGTCTATTGTGTAAGTTAGAAACAAAGAGAAAGCCAGGAGTTTACTCTGACACAATGACAAGTTGGTATTTTAACATCTGTTCAGGAATGGAAATATTTTACAAAAAACTAAAACTGTTGTCCTCAGTGTAGGAATAGTGTGAGACATGAAGATGTGGTAATCTAAATAAGATCAGTACTCCATCATAACATATAATCACCTCTGACAACTCTTTACATTGAAGAATTTACCATATTATGATTACTACTGTTCTTTGTCACATATAGACTGTCTCAGGTCAAAATCTAGGGCATAAAGGGTGTGGAGATGGCTCAGTGGCCCGGAGTCCTACTGGATCAAAATATAACCTTAGTGTCAGTCTCAATGAAATACAAAAGACATAACAAAAAATTACTTCATCATATTATTATATAAGAATAAAGTTTTTGACTGTTGTAACTTATTTTTTATAAATCAGATTTACACACAATTTTGCAATTTTGTGGAACAGTGGTACATGTTTATTTTTCTACAATATCAGGATGATACACCAAACATCTTCCTGGCAGTGAGTGAGTACTGTATCATCACGTGCATTTAACTGTCATTAATTTCAAATACTAACCAATCAGATCCCAGGGTCATAGGTTATTCTATGGTGGCATGTGTCAGAATGAAATATATGTCACTTTGATGTATGTATAAGTACCTGCAATTCTCTCTTGTTTGTAAGAAATAAATTGTAAAATACATACAGGTCAGGAAATAATTGATGATGCATTCAAAATATAACAACATTTTCATTGCAGATTTCTTTCTGTACAATAATGTATGTTAATTGGATATCATGTGCAAAACAAAATCAAGAATAATCATAGCATCTGAAAAAGTGGTAGTCCTAAGGACAATTGATAAGTAGATCAAACTGTCCTGGGAAATTTGTATCTTAAACTTTTAGTTTGCATAGTTTGCAAATAGCATAAAATTCTCTCAACATATATCGTTTATTTAAAATCCCCAGATAGCATGACTTCTCCCAACATATATCATTATTTAACATCTTTGTATTTGCTGGAATACAATGATCAGACTTGCTGTATTTTTCTGTATTTTACCAGAATGGTACATTTATTATAGAGTATATTTTGTTTCATCTCTCATGGTATGACATTAATGGCTTATCTATATATGTTTGACAATAATTAGAGTTAATCACAATGTATTTGATGGTGACGAATGAAGCATTGTTGCTTTAAATTTTGTTTGTTTCTTTTTGTTATATTATTTGGAAAATTATATGCCGGTCAAAGACCTTATTCCATCCTTGCGTCAACACTTTGTAGGATAACTCAAAATTAACCAATTCTCATGAAATTTTAATACAACATTAGGATTGACAGAAGGAAGCTCCCTTTCAGTTTTGAACATTGTTGGCTTTGTTGTTTAAGAGTTAAAGGACTTAATCTATTAGTTTTAAGCCAATTTTTCACAAATCGACACACACACAGCAGTATTTTTGAATTGATTTCCTAAAAACTATACTTTATTGTTTGGATTATAAAAGAAAGCTTCCTTTCAATTTTGACAAACCTGCAACATTTATGTCGTGGAAGAGAGACATAACGATCCTACATTTCTTTGTTGGCAGCAGCGTCAACATTTATGTCATGGAAGAGACACATAAACGATCCTTCATTTCTTTGTTGGCAGCAGCGTCAACATTTAGGTTCAGTCTCTGGTTTTAAGTTTTTTTAGACATCAATAACTTTGTCAAACCATTATGGAATTTTATAAAACATTTTGTCAAACCATTATAGAATTTTATAAAACTTTTTGTCAAACCATTATGGAATTTTATAAAACTTTTTGTCAAACCGTTATGGAATTTTATGAAACTTGATCAAACCGTCATGGAATTTTATGAAATTGGACAGAAGCTTTTTAATGACCAAAGGAAGGACCATGGACATTTTTTTGTCTGATAATAAATGAATAATTTGAGAATAATTGGTTTAGTGCATACAGTCAGTGTTTTGAGAATAATTGGTCTAGTGTGTAGAAATAGTGTTTTAAGTATAATTGGTACATTGCATACAGTCAGTGTTTTGAGAATAATTGGTCTAGTGCAAATGGTCAAGTGTTTTGAGAATATTTGGTCCAGTGCATATAGTCAATGTTTTAAGAATAATTGATCTAGTGCATAATCAGTGTTTTGAGAATAATTGGTCTAGTGCTTATAGTCAGTGTTTTGGGAATAATTGGTCTAGTGCTTATAGTCAGTGTTTTGGGAATAATTGGTCTAGTGCATAGTCAGTGTTTTTAGAGTAATTTGCCCAGTGCATACAGACGGTGTTTTGAGAATAGTTGTTGTAGTGCATACAGCCAATTTTTTTATAATGATTGGTTAAGTGCATACAGCCAATGTTTTGAGACTTTTTGTCTTCATTGCCACTAGAAAAATACAGTATACAGATATTTAAATGATAGATGTATGCGAGAAATACATGTATAAACAAGAGATAATTACATGAGATTGTTGATTGTTGCTTTATTACTGATAAACAACAGTTATTACAACCATAGAATACTATTACAGGGCGTGTGACATGTTAGCTGTCAGATATATTAGGGGTTAAGCTCTGACGATTGTCAGGAAGGAAGTTACAGATCTGTGACAAGATTATTGTTTGACATATTAGGGGTAAATATAAAGGTTGTCTGTTGAAAAATATACAGGTTGGTGGAAATTTAACTGTTTTGCACAATCAGGGAAGACATTGTGGGATATCTGTTAGGGAAGGAACACACTAATTAAGAGTTATCTTTAGGGATATCTGTCATGGAAAGTGAAGATAAATTAGGATAAAGTTTAGGGATATCGCTCAGGAAAGTGAAGATAAATTAGGATAAAGTTTAGGGATATCTCTTAGGAAAGTGAAGATAAATTAGGATAAAGTTTAGGGATATCTCTCAAGTGAAGATAAATTAAGGGTTATTCTTGGGATATCTGTCAGAGAAAATGAAGAAGAAGTAAGCGTTATCTTTGGGATGTCTGTCATGGTAATAAAAGTAATAAATTAAGAGATATATATCAGGGAAGGAACACACAAATCAAGGGTCATCGTTAGGGATATCTGTGATGGAAAGGGAAGATAAATTAAGGATTATTATCTTAAGGGATATCTGTCAAGGAAAATGAAGACAAATTGAGGTTTATCATAGTTATATTTCATGGAAGGAACTCAGAAATTAAGGGTTATCTTATAGGATAAACTTGGGGGATATCTGTCGTGGAAATTGAAGATAACTTAAGGATAAACTTAAGGGATATCTGTCCAGGAAATTGAAGATGAATTAGGGATAAACTTAAGGGATATCTGTCGTGAAAATTGAAGATAACTTAACGATAAACTTAAGGGATATCTGCCCAGGAAATTGAAGATAACTTAAGATGATAGCGGATATATTCCTAATGTCGTAACTACAATCCCGTCCCCCTTTTCCAGAATGTGACCTACCGAATTAGACTTATTACCGGGTTGGTACTAACATGAGGAACACGACGGGTGCCACATGTGGAGTAGGATCTGCATACCCTTCCGGAGCACCTGAGATCACCCCCATTTTTGCTGGGGTTCGTGTTCCTTAGTCTTTAGTTTTCTATGTTGTGTTTTGTGTACTATTGTTTGTCTTTTGGTCTTTTTTCTTTTTTAGCCATGGCGTTGTCAGTTTATTTTCAACTTATGAGTTTGAATGTCCCTCTGGTATATTTCACCTCTCTTTTAAGGAAAAAACTTAAGGGATATCTGTCATGGAAATTGAAAATAACTTAAGGATACACTTAAGGGATATCTGTCGTGGAAATTGAAAATAACTTAAGGATACACTTAAGGGATATCTGTCTTGAAATTTGAAGATAACTTAAGGATAAACTTAAGGGATATCTGTCGTGGAAATTGAAGATAAATTAAGGGTTGTAATAAAGGAAATTTGTCAGGAAAAGTAAAGATACGATTTTTATGACTGATATCTGTTATGGAAAGTACATACCCTTAATTATTCTATCAGAGTTGGGAAATGTTGTTTTTATCTTTTAATCTTTTTTTCCAGATTTAAGTAAAATAAAGACAAGATGGAGCACATAGAACCATTGAAGCAACTGGTACTTTACATTTCCATAGCAACAGTTTTATTTATTAATACAGGTATGATGTAATTAATGACAAAAGAAATATTACAGATGTACATAAGTATTTGATTAAAAGAAAACAAATCCCCTTTGTATCATGATGGTAGAGAATGACCTTGTAGTAAGTTTACAAATCATTATGGTAGGTTTACAAATCATGACCCTGCAGTTATTAGAATAGAAAATGTTATAACCTTCAGGTTTGTTTATAAACACAAGTAGTAACAAGCCTTGTTCTTCTTTTCCATGAAAATCATTAGAAAACAAAATAAATATCTCAACTACATCAAAATGGCTTAATTTTAGCAGAGTGGCATTTGTTAAAATCTGAATAAAAGGAGATGAGAAAACAATATGAAAAACTGATAAGACATCATTGAACCTTTCATAATCTAGGTCTGTTGGACATTTTTTGTTTACTTTTATATGATATTTATTTTCTGAATTGTATTTCCAATTCCTGGAAATCATGTAGAGAATATGTAATAATGTAGTTATCACCAGTTTTGGAGAAGAAGTGTGAATCAATGTTCTAAGATAAACACAAATGTGATGGAATGTTGATTTTTGTAGTGTGTCTATCAACATAATGAAATTAATGAAAGTGAGATAAGACACAAACACAAAAAACGCTTGGCATTAAAAGATTTAATACAACAAAGAACTTTATTCAAAACACAGAGACTGAACTAATCTAACCTTTGAACAATTTGTGTACTGGTACTGTCTCAAAAACTGAGTGCACTTTTAATTATTTTAATATGACACATGTTTTCTTCAAGGACAACAGTTGAAAAATTAATTATAGGCAGTTTTTTGCATGTAAATAAAAGAAAATCTGTAATATGCATCACGAGACAGCAACCGATTGACACAAGGAAAAAGACATCTTTAGTTCAACAATAGTTAGGTGTCTATACAATATGTCATCCTGTAAATCATATGTATTTAAAGGTCAGGGCAGAAATCATATGTATTTAAAGGTCAGGGTGGAAATCATATGTATTTAAAGGTCAGGGCGCAAATCATATGTATTTAAAGGTCAGGGTGGAAATCATATGTATTTAAAGGTCAGGGCGCAAATCATATGTATTTAAAGGTCAGGGCAGAAATCATATGTATTTAAAGGTCCGGGCGCAAATCATATGTATTTAAAGGTCAGGACCGAAATCATATGTAATTAAAGGTCAGGGCGCAAATCACATGTATTTAAAGGTCAGGGCACAAATTATATGTATTTAAAGGTCAGGGCAGAAATCATATGTATTTAAAGGTCCAGGCGCAAATCATATGTATTTAAAGGTCAGGGCAGAAATCAGATGTATTTAAAGGTCAGGGTGGAAATCATATGTCTTTAAAGGTCAGGGTGGAAATCATATGTCTTTAAAGGTCAGGGCGCAAATCATATGTATTTAAAGGTCAGGGTGGAAATCATATGTATTTAAAGGTCAGGGCGGAAATCATATGTATTTAAAGGTCAGGGCGGAGATCATTAAGGTTTTAATAGAACAAACACCAGAAAAACTTGAAAAATAAATGTATGACCTCGAATAGAAAATCCTTGATAATTACCAATGATTTACCAAAGATCAAGGTTCATAGCCAACATCCTTATTGATATGTGTGACCTTGATAGTTAACAATGATTTACCAAAGATCAGGGTTAATGATATGTGTGACCTTGATAATTAACAATGATTTACCAAAGATCAAGGTTCATAACCAACGCCCTTATTGATATGTGTGACCTTGATGATTACCAATGATTTACCAAAGATCAAGGTTATTGATATATATTTGTGAACTTGATATTTAACAATGATTTACCAAGGATCAAGGTTATTGATATATATTTGTGACCTTGATATTTAACAATGATTAACCAAGGATCAAGGTTATGGATATATATATGTGACCTTGATATTTAACAATGATTTACCAAGGATCAAGGTTATTGATATGTGTAACCTCGACAGTTATGATTACCCAAGATGGAGGTTTTAAATCAACATCCTTATTGATATGTGTGACCTTGATATCTATAATTTGATATATAGACCTTGATATTTATAATTTGATATATAAACCTTGATATTTATGATTTGATATATAAACATTGATATTTATAATTTGATATATAAACCTTGATATTTATAATTTGATATATAAATGTTGATATTTATTATGATTAACCAGAGATAAAGTGCAGTGAATGTATTAACAGCAACAGCAAAATGCTCTTTCATAAATCTTCAAATACCAGAAGATAACTAGGTCAGAAATTATATAATGGGGAAAAAATATATACAAAAACATGTTTCTGTACTTGGAATTCAGATGTTTAATTGTGCAAATGTTGATTTTTGAGTACACCATTTACAATCATCACCAATGCAGATTTATGATTTTTGAGTAAGCCATTTACAATCATCACAATGCAGATTTATGATTTTTGAGTAAGCCATTTACAATCATCACCAATGCAGATTTATGATTTTTGAGTAAGCCATTTACAATCATCACAATGCAGATTTATGATTTTTGAGTACACCATTTACAATCATTACCAATGCAGATTTATGATTTTTGAGTAAGCCATTTACACGTTCATGTGTTCATCTGTGAGTCTGTTTACACGTTCATGTGTTCATCTGTGAGTCTGTTTACACGTTCATGTGTTCATCTGTGAGTCTGTTTACACGTTTATGTGTTAATCTGAAGGAAGGGTAAGTAGAACCAGCTCCACATGTGGCACCATTTGTGTTGCTCATGTAAGTACAAACCTGGTGATAAGTCTTATGTGGCACCATTTGTGTTGCTCATGTAAGTACAAACCTGGTGATAAGTCTTACGTGGCACCATTTGTGTTGCTCATGTAAGTACAAACCTGGTGATGTCTTACGTGGCACCATTTGTGTTGCTCATGTTACATGTAAGTAAAAACCTGGTGATAAGTCTTATGTGGCACCATTTGTGTTGCTCGTGTAAGTACAAACCTGGTGATAAGTCTTATGTGGCACCATTTGTGTTGCTCATGTTACATGTAAGTAAAAACCTGGTGATAAGTCTTATGTGGCACCATTTGTGTTGCTCGTGTAAGTACAAACCTGGTGATAAGTCTTATTTGGTAGATCACATTCAGGGAAAAGATGACAGGATTGTTGTTACGATAATTAGAACATATCTGTCGTCATCTAGAAAAAAAACAGATATTCCATAACGGTCAACCAACTCTTGATGGTGTCCATAAAATTTACCAGGGATGATTTCAACTTCACCCCTTGGAACTGTTGGCGTAATAGCTTCCTTGTGAGCAGCAACCTTCTAGCAAGGAAGTTATGATAGTAAATACACCCCCTAGTCCTAGTTTAAGGTCAATGTTTCACATGTTACACAATTATAACTTGAGTATGTTTAGATAAAGTTCTCTTGACACTTTACACTATACCTACCCCCAACAAAACCAGCTGTGAATGTCTCTTGACAGATCATTTTCATTTTACCACTGGCTAACAAAATTGAAGTAGGGTTGTTGTTTATTGGTGTTATTTGGTATGACGTTGGCGTCGTCGTCCGAAGACACATTGGTTTTCGCACTCTAACTTTAGTTTAAGTGAATGGATCTCTATGAAATTTTACCATAAGGTTCAATACCACAAAAGGAAGGTGGGGATTGATTTTGGGGGTCATGGTACCAACACTAAAGGAATAAGGGGCCAAAAATAAGCATTTTTGTAACTTCCAGACATAACTTGTGTGTTAGTGTATGGATCTCTCTGACATTGTACCACAAGGTTCCATATCATAAAGGGAATGCTGGGATTGATTTTGGGGGTAATTGCCTCCAAATTTTAGGAATTAGGGGCCAAAAAGGGGCAAAAAACAAGCATTTTTCTAGTTTCATGACAATAACTTGTGTGTAAGTGTATGGATCTCTCTGACATTGTACTACAAGGTTCCATATCACAAAGGGAATGCTGGGATTGATTTTGGGGATAATTGCCTCAAAATTTTAGGAATAAGGGGCCAAAAAGGGGCAAAAAACAAGCATTTTTCTAGTTACATGACAATAACTTGTGTGTAAGTGTATGGATCTTTATGAAATTGTACTACAAGGTTCCATATCACAATGGGAAAGCTGGAATTGAGTATGGGGGTAATTGCCCTAAACGTTTAGGAATAAGGGGCCAAAAAGGGGCCAAAAATAAGCATTTTTCTAGTTTCCTGACAATAACTTGTGTTCAAGTGTATGGATCTCTCTGAAATTGTACTGCAAGGTACCATACCACAAAGGGAAGGCTGGGATTGATTTTTGGGATAATTCCCTCAAAATTTAAGGAATTAGGGGCCATAAAGGGGCAAAAAAAACAAGCATTTTTCTAGTTTCAGGACAATAACTTGTGTGTAATTTTATGGATCTTTATGAAATTGTACTACAAGGTTCCATATCACCAAGGAAAAGCTGGGTTTGAGTTTGGGGGTAATTGCCCTAAACGTTTAGGAAATTGGGGCCAAAAAGGGGCCAAAAAACAAGCATTTTTCTAGTTTCCAGACAATAACTTGTGTTCAAGTGTATGGATCTCTCTGAAATTGTACTGCAATGTACCATACCACAAAGGGAAGGCTGGGATTGAGTTTGGGTGTTATGAATCATAAGGGGGTTCAAAAAATTTGGGGGGGGGGGGGGGGGGTATTTTTTTTTCCTTTTTTTTCTTTAAAATTTTCCATTTTAAATTGGTTATTTCTGATTTATATATAAAAGCAAATAATAACGATACGGTTTGAATAGGTTAATTAAAAATTTTTAAGTTCTTAGACCACATTCATTCTGTGTCAGAAACCTATGCTGTGTCAAATATTTAATTACAATCCAAATTTAGTGCTGTATCAAGCTTGAATGTTGTGTCCATACTTGCCCCTACTGTTCAGGGTTCCACCTCTGCGGTCGTATCAAGCTGCGCCCCAGCGGAGCATTTTATTTATTCTATGAGTACAACTTACAAACCCTAAGGTTAG